ATTTTGCTAAATTTATTGCTTTTCTCTGATCAGAATTTAGCAAGGAAACAGAAAGTCCAATTTCTATGGAATAAAAGGTTTGAAAGCGTGTAAATCTCTAAATTTTGAGGTTATTTGCAAGGCGTTATTTATACAATTCACTTGAGTGTTGTTGTCACGAAGTATATTATTGAAATGCCATGGTTTTGCATGATGCGACATCTATTGACTAATCGCCGCTACATTCGCGAAAGAAAGCAAGAAAAATAGCTTTTAAAATCTCAACTTTGAGATTTTAGCATTTTGGCTCGCTGAGCTTTTTATCGAAGCTTTAAAGTGTTTCATAAGTCTGGATTAAGTATAGTTTCTACGATTGAGCTACGGATTTACGCAAGTTTGTTGAATTGCGTCCAATTTAACACTGTTTTAAGCGAAAAATAGGACTAATTTAGTCTCTTGACTGTCGATTTTAACTCCTTTTCCCCTGAAAATGCGTTAGAAAAGCAAAATTTCTTTCTTGCCCTCTGCAGAAGATCAGTGAGAAGGACCTGCGCGGCGGCGTGCAGCACTGCATCAATGTTGTGCAGGTTTATGGGCAGGAGAAGCATCTGGTGCTGCGCGACATCGATGTGAGGCAGGCACTGGATCCGCTCCAGCCGAATGAGGTTCACTGTGATGTTTCCTGTCTAGTCTATGATATTAGCAATCCCAACTCGTTCGAGTACATCGCCCGGATCTACATCAAGTACTTTGCCGAGAGCAAAATACCCGTCTTGATTGTCGGCACGAAGGGTGACCTTCTGGAAGTGCCTCAGAATTATCTGCTGCAGCCCACGGAGTTCTGCAGCAAGTACAAAATATTGCCACCGCAAATCTTCAGTCTGAGGGACAATAAGAAGGATCTCTTCACCAAATTGGCCACAATGGCGGCTTTTCCGTGAGTATTTCTCGTCCTTTTTCGGCATTTCAGAGCGATTACAGACTTGCGGGTTATCCTCGAATAGGCGCGAAGTGGGATTAATCCCTCGTGGATGAGATTTGTGCATAATTCGTGGCTGAAGTGGCGCTGTGAACACTCAGGAGTTATTCTTCTTTGTCGACACTAGCGACAATTTTGCTTCCTTTTCCGCTCTCAGCTGTCAATTGATTAGTTTATTCTATCAAAAAGCGTTGAATTTTACGATAAAGTTGCGAAAATGGAAGATTTGCAGAAGAATTTAATGGATTTTGAGAACTTAAGAAATTATTCTCAAAAGATTCGCCATTTTGATCGTCGGAAACCGCATAAAAATCGGTTGAATCTTCGATATATCGAGGGATTAGTTGTGTTTTATGGCTCAACCGTCAGTTTTACACACTTACGCTCTCGCTTATCCTCTCGTGGATCACCAGCAAGTCTTTAATCGCTCTTAAACACTCTTTCACTGGGTTTTTGCGGTGGGAAATTTGAAAATTGAACATTTAATAATCCACTTTTAGAGGATATTTCTAAAGAGGGGGAAGAATTTGGGACTTTTGAAGCACTTTTCTCTAACGATATTGTATTTATCTTCTTGATCACACGCACACACACTCGTTCGGGGGAAAAACAATATGTTTTTGTATGAAAATGCAATTTAAAAATCCACGAAAAAACAGTCGCTTCCAAGCGGCTTGGATCCTCTTTTACAAGCACAGGTTGGTACAGCTGTGGGAGACCACGTAAGTTCAGCTTCAATTAACTAAATTTGTGCAAAAATAATTAATTAATAATGCTGCGAGCAAAATAATCTTTCGTTCTTTTCTTCCCTTTGAGTTTTTTTTTTTTTTGAACAGTCGAAAAATCGCACGCGAAATCCACACGCATTAAAGGATTGTTTTTCTTTTGTTAATGTTGATAACAGAAAGAAAGCTTTGCATTATAATTAATAATAAGTTTTCTTGTACATCCTGTGTAAATAATCATGGCGTAATAACTGATGTTTGTGTTTAAAATGACATTTTGACAGAAAATGTTTGAAAAATTGATCAAATGTCATTTATCGGCTGCTTTCGTGACAATTCGGACACTTTGATTAGCGTCAAATTTAAATTTCAAACTGACGCAACTGAGAAATTTCCCATCTTAGAAGAAAAAATCACGAGAATTTTAGCATTGAATGAAAGCAAATGAATTCTTAATTGTGGGTAGAAAAATTAATTGATTTCAGCCACAAAATCACGTAGATTTTTCACTCGTTCGATTTCTTATCAGTAAAAAAAAATCTCTCATGCATTTCTCAATTTTAATTTCTTTCATTTTACTACCTTTTTCAATTTCTTCTTCTTCTGAAGCTTGGCTGAAATGCGATGCAAAAAAAGAACCAATAAAATAAAATAAAACAGAGAATTTTGATGGCAAAAGTGAGTCGATGAAACAATTTCTGTACTTTCAGTCCACTTCGGCGCGTCGTGAATTTCCTTTTCATGAGTCCCAACACTCAGATGTCTTCTTGGTCCCAACCTTTCAATGTCAACAGGTGGAGAATTTCATTCACTTTCTCTCCGTTTCTTTCGTCTTTTCTCACATATTTTCTTGACTTCTTTTTATTCGGCGTTTTGCACTAGAATTTTTTGCACTTTTGCACGATTCTTTCGATTTCTATTTCTTAGTCAGCACTTTTTGGGGTTAATTTTGTGGGTTTTGTCAGTAGAAAATGATGGGCGAAAAACTTGTGTAGAGAAGAGCTGGGCATTTTTGAAGACGTTTTTAGAGTAAATTTAAAAATAATTCATTGTTTTGATCTCAAAATGCGGATATTTTGATTGATTTGTTCTTTTTTCATCCAAACTAATGACGAAATCCAGTTAATCGCAATTTCTTTATGAAAATTTAGCCTTTTTGACCTTCTTGATAACCTTTCTTGTTTGTCTTTTCGCTAACATTTCAACACTAGATAAGGATCAATATTTCAATGAGTGAATCGAAAAGTATGAAAAGTCAAAATATCGACACTTTTTAGGAGGAAAAGATGAAAATTTAGTGCTAATATTGTGAATTTTTCAATTTTGAATCTTTTATTGAGTTTCCAAAAGTCGATTTTAAATGAAAAAAATTAACTTTTTCTCATTTTAAATGCATTTTTAAAAAATTGTTTAATATTCTCATTGAAAATCAATCTATTATTTTTTCCAGAGAACTTTTCAAAAATACTTTAAGAAGAAATCTTTGAAAAAATTCAATTTTTCATAGATTTCTATTCACTCAACAATTTATATTAATTCCATATCGACGGGTGAATGGAAAACTATGAAAAGTCAATTTATCATAGTTTTCGTCTTATGAATTTTTGAAAAGCTTTTTATTTGTTCTTTCTGTACAAGAATTTTAAGATTTGTATCTTATGAGACAATAGAAAAAAATCTTATTTATCTAAAAAGCACAAATGGAAAAAAATTGTTATCTTGTGCGAATTAAAAGTCGATTTTTCATTGTTTACGCTGAAGAATTTTTCCCAAAAAAAAATGTCTCAAAAATTGCAGTCAAATGCATAAAAACGTCTTTTTAGAAAATATTTGTAGATTTTCAGAATTATCCTAAAATGTTTTTTTTGGACTTTAAATGAATATTTTTCATATCTTTTAAATTTTTTCACTTGAAAACATTAAGAAAAAGTTCAATTGAAGTATGAAAAGTTGATTTTTTGTATAAAATCGACTCAAAAACCATTAAAAATCGACTTTGAAAAGTAATATTTTCAGATTTTCTATAATTTTGCCACATTTTAGTCAAAAATTTCAATAAATACCAATAAAACATTTACAAAATAAAAAATACAGAGCAATATTTTCACTTTAACGAACGATTTGAAGGCATTTTGAGTATTTTGAAGTAAATTTGGCAAATTTCGCAGCTGTTTTAATGCAAAATTTTGAACTCGCTTTGCTGAAAAATGGCGATTTTGACTTTTTATAGTTTTCGAGGCACCCGTCGATTTAAAGGTGTTTTAAGTGATTAAAAGATGTTTTGGCTTTAAGGATTTTTCATGCCTTCAGCGACAGGATTCATAAAAGCCTCGCTCTCTCCTATTTAATTATGCAGTAAAACTGAGTGTAAATGTTTGTAGATTGCTAATGAATGTCTTGTGTTTAATTGCGCGTCAGTCTTTAATTGAGTTCTTTATAAATGGCAAAATGATTAATTGTGCATGAAAGGAATTCTTCGATGGTGTCGGAAAGACGCGCAAGGAATGCTTTGTATAATAATCCGGCTGAATTCACGTAGAAAAAAAATCCGCTAACAACACTTTGTCGAAGTGCATTTTCTCACCACTTTTTCCTCTGCATTGTGTGATTGTTTTGGGCGTGAGTGAATGAAGCGCTTTCCATCGGGCTCTAATGGGCGTTTTCTCTCACAATCCAGACACTTGAAGCACTTCGGCCTGACGCCCGGAGATCCGCTGGTGTGGTGGAAGGCCGGCCTGGGCATCGCGGCGATCACTGTGGTCGGATGGTACGTGGTCAGGGCCTTCCAGAGGAACACGACGACCTACGGCGCGCGGTGAAGTGGAAAAACATGGAGTCTTTTCTTCGATGCGAAAGAACTGTGAATTTGTGTGTTGAATTGAGGCAGAAGACAAGATAACTCTCCTGGACAGTGAGAGAGGAGAAGAGATTGATGGCGTAATTGGAGTAAAAATGCCGAAGTAGTCAGTCATTCAATGATAAAAAAAAGAATTAGCGTAGCGTCGCGAAGAGATTGTCTTTGAAAGCTTCTTTTTCTTGAAGTAAATTTGTGAGAAATCAACACTTTTTTTTTCTTTTTATTCGTAAATTTTGCGCGTTGTAAATAATAATAATAATAATATTTCTCCCATAATTCACACAATTTCCAAAAGAAAAGAAAGGAAAAAAAGCTTTTTATCATTCTCTTGATTTTTTTTTATCGCGACACACATTCAATTATGTTTCATTGTAATTTCTTTTTAAGTCAATCGATAGGAATTTGTAGTTGGAATTTAGATGAGAGAGAAAGAGAGAGAGAAAATGAAATAAAGACACAATTTGTGAGAAGAATAAATCTATATTAATCAATGGAGTATTGAGAATATCAACAAAATGATTGCGCCAATGTTAATAAATCCGCTGAATGTGAATTACTTCCGCTTCTTCGTCAGATTCCACCTCAGTTGTCGATTCGTAGTAATAATCAGATGAGCCGCTCTCTTCGTCCTCATCGTACACTTCAACGGGACGATCGGCCTGCTGGAGGAGAGAGAGAAACAGAAAAAGGACGTAAACAATCGTCGAACATATTTAGCTGAGAAATTTAGCGTGATCGCAGAACGATTAGTGCAAATATTGGTGCGGTAATCAATAATAATTTGATAACGATAATTTGACCACCAGTTGGCGTTGGAAACATAGAATGAGATATACGCAGCCCAATTCTATGTCCTTCGCCTCAGAAACAAACATGGCGGTCAAACACATCAGTCAGTCTAATCTGAAGCTATAATACTGGCGATGATTACGAGTTAATCTCGAGTGGAAGACGCTCAGGAGAAGTGGACGAGCAGGAAGACCTGCGAACCTTGTAAGCCAGCTTACTAGCAAACAGTGCGCTTACTTATTGCGCAAACAGAGTGTTACTTCCACTTCAGCCCCTTCAGCCCCTTCAGCCAGTGTCTGCTGAAGAGCATAATTCATGCGTTTGACACCAAGATGAGAGAAGACATGATCCTCATGATTGCAATTCAGCAGCTGACGGCCTGTGCAGCAGAAAAACATATCCGAAGACGAACAAGGTAGACATTTGTTAAGGGCGCAGCCATTGTAAGACATAAAGCTTTAGAAGAATTCCTATGAAGCTGCCAGGAATGGCGATGCGAAAACAAGTAACTAGTGTGGAAGTTTATGGATAAGATGACGGAGGAGCAAGCCTGACTCAAGCCAGGAAGATAATTACAAAGTGAGAAAGAGCTGAGAGACGTTTTAATGAAATATAACTCAGAAACTTCCGATATTCACGGTCTTGAGAAAACGAGATTTTGACCCTCAATTTTGTTAAAAGCGTGATGCAATTTCAGCTCAATCATGAAAATAGCAGAAGTAAGCGAGGAAACTCACGTTACACACAAGTAAGTGGTGGTTTGTTGGAAAGGTCTCAGTGTGAGCTATAAAATACCAAAATCTTGGCTTAATTCATGCCATAGCGTCTGAATAAATGAGAAAAAGAGTGTTTTAAGGGTGTTCAAAATGGCGGACATCAGAAATCTCTAACAACGCTACAGTTAAAAACCCATTTTACTCAGATTCAGATGAAATAGCTTTAGATTATGCGAGCAAACTCACGTCATTCTGCAGATGAAGGTCCAATTCCACTTGCATCCGGAAGTCCATGGCCATGAAAAAGGCGGTGATGAGGAGCGGAAGCGTCGTGCGACTGTTCCACGCGAGCTTCGTGAGGAACATGAATGTCTGGCCGAAGACGGAATCCATCTCTCTCTCTCTGCCCAGAATCTCTGCAATGATTAATGAAAGACGAAGTTGAGCCAATTGTAATATCATATATTCGTATAAATTGCAACAAAAGTGTGGGAATGTTGAGTGGATTTTCAATCGAAGTAGTCCACGTGAGCGCCTGACGTGAATTTTCCCTCGCGCAGCACCTGAAGGAACTTCCGGGTGGTCTGTTCGCGCGTCACGAGCTTGTTCTCCACGTGGAGATTCGCCATGGTGCTCTTGACTTGCTCATCCGTGGACTTTGTGCGGATCTCCGTCTGCATGTCCGTGTCCACTGGACCTGGAGAGTAGTTGAGCACCGTCAGGCCGGGATTCTCCGCCGCCAGGCAGCGGAAGTACATCTCGCGGGCGGCGCGAGAGCTGCAGTACAGCGACATGCTGGCGAAGGGCTCGAGAGCCGCCAAGGAAGTCACGTTGACCACGATCTTCTGCGTCTCCGGGAAGCTGGCCATGAAGACGGCATTGAGAATGGCCACGGAGAAGACATTCATGGCAAAGTGCTCGCGCCACGTGGCCTGGGAGTTGTGATCCACACTCCACTTGGTCACGTCGCCCAGAGTGCCCACATTGTGGATCACCAGGGCGAACTCGAAGGACTCCTTGGCGCTGTTGGCGAGAGACTTCGCCACGACAGTCTCCAGTTCCTCACGCGAAGGCTCCGTCAGATCCACCGACACCGTGACGATGGTCAGGCGATCATTCTGGGCCAGGATCTGGCGCCTGGTGTCCTCCAGACCGGCGGCAGAGCGCGCCAGGAGGAGAACCAGAGAGCCCGGCTTCATCTCCTTGGCACACTCAATGGCCATCGTCTGGCCAATGCCCCTGGACGCCCCGGTGACGAGCAGGAAGCCCACCCGATTGAGATTCACCGCCAAAGAAGACATATTAACCTGTGTGTTCTTCTCTAGCGACTTCCGTCAGATGATTCGCCTTCGGCCTCCTTGGGCTGCTGCTGCTGCTCCTCCTCCTCACTCTCCACCTGCAGTTGATCGTGCTTCACCAGATGCACCACCTCACCCACCGACAGCGCCTGCTCCGGACGCAGAAACCTGGCAATCTCCTGCGCAGCCCGGAAATCCGTGCTATTCACTGGAGCGTCGAGATTCAGGTCAATCTCCCTGTTCGCCTGCACTCCGTCACCACAATCCACGAGTAGACTCTGCAGGCAGGCTTCGCGCTTCTCCGCCAACTGCCTCAGGACGTTGGGATCCTTCTTGATGCGCCTCAACTTGGACTCTGCAAAAACGGCAAAAACACACCCGGAATCAGTGGCATTTTCCCGGCGCGGGAAGCCAATCTCCGCCCACCTAGTCTATCGAGGTACTCCTGTGAGTCTGGAAGACGCTCACTCTTGGGCTGGAAGTTGTCTTCGAAGCCAATCTCGGTGGTGGAATCGCTTTGAAAATCGCTGCTCTTCTGAGATTCAGATTCGAGCCACGGATTCATGCTGACAACTGGATCAGCAGCGCCTCTATCCGCCAATGAGAGAAGCTCAGCAATGTCTCTTTTCTACCTGTTTTCCCCCAGAAATGCAATGATTCTCACTAAAATTGGGCTAAAGACACTCTTTAGCGACTAAAAAGCAGTTCTTGATGGGAATTTTAGTTGAAATTCTGTGAATTCATGGAAAATTCCACACTTTTCCGAACAACCCTCCGGAACATCTCCGAAGCGCGCGTTTGCAGCCAACTTCACGCACAGCGATTGACTGCGTCACTGAGACATTTAGTGGAATTTTCCTCCGGATTAGTGCGAGTGCCCAAAAATAAAAACAATCCAACAAATAATCTCACCTGCCCTCGAATTAGATGGAATATGTGAAGACTTGTGCACTAAAGTGTTAACTGTAATTGTACATAAGCAAGGACAGGTGATAGAATCGGTGTGTGAGTGAAAGCGGACGAGATAATGGCCAATGAGGCGCCGGTTGATGGGAATTTCAACATGAAAAATGAGAAACAATTCATTTGTGGCGTTGTGGAAGGTAATCCTGACCTGAATCCCACCTCGATGGGTAGTTCTAGTGGCTAATCTGGTGTCTTTGCAGGCTTCTACGGGCGACCGTGGACGACGGAGCAGCGAAAGGACTTGTTTGCCAAGTGAGAAGCGCGCTTTGGCTGCTTTGTTGACCTTTTTTTGCCTCTAATCACGGGGAATTTCTCTCGCAGGCTGAAGAAGTGGGGCATGAACTCCTACGTGTACGCGCCGAAGGACGACTACAAGCACCGGGCGTACTGGCGGGAGCTGTACACGGTGGAGGAGGCGGATCACCTGAGCAGCCTCATCGCGGCCGCCAAGGAGCACGAGATCAACTTCTACTACGCCCTGTCGCCGGGCCTGGACATGACGTACAGCAATGCCAAGGAGACGGCCACGCTGAAGCGGAAGCTGGAGCAGGTGTCGCAGTTCGGCTGCGAAGCCTTCGCGCTGCTCTTCGACGACATCGAGCCGGAGATGACGAAGGCAGACAAGGAGGTGTTCCAGAGCTTCGCGCACGCCCAGGTGTCCGTGACGAATGAGATCTTCAACCATCTCAACTGTCCGCGCTTCCTCTTCTGCCCCACGCAGTACTGCAGCTCGCGCGCCGTGCCGTCGGTCACGCGCTCGGAGTACTTAAACACCGTGGGCGGCAAGCTGGCGCAAGACATCGAGATCCTGTGGACGGGCCCGCGCGTGGTGTCCAAGTTCCTCACCGTGGAGGGCATCCAGGAGATCACGGAGGTGCTGCGCAGGCCGCCAGTCATCTGGGACAATCTCCACGCCAATGATTACTGCAGCGTGAGTATCAATATCCCAAATATTTTCATATCTTCCAAAGTTTCTATTCGATTGCCAAAATCAATACGGATTTGGAAAGGTCACTTCATGGCCTACAACTCTCTAGAACATGCCGAGGACGAAAAATGACTTGTTTTAGCAATAATTTCTGATTTTGTGCATTTTGCACCAAAAACACTCCAAACGCCGCCATTTTTCGGCGGATCCTGAACAGCAATGGCGGTTTCGGAAGAAGATAAGCTGACCTACAACTCTCTAGCTCAGCTTAACCTAATTTTTAGGAGTTTTCTATGCATTTTGCAGTGAAAACATCCATAATGATCTCATTTTTGTTAGATTTTCAAGAAACCTAACGTTTTGAAATAAAAAATAGATGGCCTACAACTCTCAAGATGATTCCAAGATCGGAAAATGACTATCAAATAGTCTTAATAACTAATTTTTGCAATAAGTTTTGGATTTTCCATTATAAACACTCAAAACGCCGCCATTTTTCGGCAGATTTTAAAGAGAAATGGCGGTTTCGGAAGAAGATAAGCTGACCTACAACTCTCTAGGACATTTTATTTGTGTCAGAACCCAGTTTCACCTGAATTTTAGGGCTTTTCTATGCATTTTACAGTATAAACAGTCTTTATGACTCCTTTTTTCCTCGTATTTTCAAGAAAATTGACGTTTCGGAATGAGAAAAAGTCAGCCTACAATTTTGTAGAATACAACACTTACGCCAGATGGCGTTTTTGTCTGTTTTCGGTGGTCTTTTAGCAACAATTCTTACAATTCTGCTTATTTGGAACCTTGCAGAAGCGCCTCTTCCTCGGGCCCTACTCTGGGCGATCGCCGAAGCTCATCCCACTGCTCAAGGGTGTCCTGACGAATCCCAATTGCGAGTATCACGCCAACGCCGTGGCCATTCACACGCTCGCGCACTGGTCCAAGTGCACAACCGAGGCCAGCATCGACAATGCAATATCGGCGGACATCAAACTAGAGACTGAGGGCGATCAGGGTGGTTTTGGCGAGGAGATGACGCCCAATTGCCTGGCCAAGAACATCTATCATCCGCGCGAGGCGCTGAAGAATGCCATCCGCGCGTGGCTGCCGGAGTTCCAGGTGGAGAAGGAGGCGTGGGGGCCCATCACGAAGCCCCATCCGCCCGTGACGATGGTCATGCCCATCATCCCCATCATCCCGTCGGTGAACACGTGCATGAGTCTCACCACGTCCACCACGGCCACCGTCACGTGCACGCAGACGATGAAGGTGCCGGAAGTGAACACGACGCAGCTGCAGGCGCTGGCCGAGGTGTGCAGCACGGTGACGGGCGGCGAGACGATCCCGCCGCTGCCCAATGTCGTGATGAACTCGCTGGTGTCGGCGAAGAAGATCGTGACGAATGACACCATCCCGAATCCCATTGTCTCCAATCTGTCCATCCCGGACAAGATTCCCGTGCCGTGCATCCAGGCGCCCATCATGGCGCTGAAGGAGAGCGTGGAGGAGGACAAGGAGGCCGACGTGGCGGCCAAGGTGCAGATCAGCGAGCCGATTGAGGTGGAGGACATCACGGAGAAGGACGACATGGTGGACAAGGTGGACGGTAAGGCGCTTCCGTCGGCGTCCGGGGCTGAGACTGAGGCCGGAACTGAGGTGATGGCCATTGCCGATGAGAATCCCTCGCCGCACAGCACAACGGAGCCCATGGAGTGCGGCAGCAGCGTGCTGTCTTCCTCGCCGAAGCAGAAGAGCTCCTCGGAAGACGTCGTGATGTCAGAGAGTGTCTCGGTAAGTCATGAATTTGTTCACTTAAATAGAAATTCTTCCATTCTACGTTCTTACCACCACCGATAAGGGTGCTGAAGCCGCAAAACCGATTTTTGGAAACCTTAAAACTGAATATCTCGAGAACAAGACGGTGGATTTTCTTTAAATTTCAGTATGTTGTAGCTAAAGCCGAGACCTTTCCAACGATGCCCTACTTATGGAAATTGATGTTTTGGGAGCGAAGATATGGAAGTTTAAAGTTCAAACCTTTAATGGCCTATATCTCAGTAGTTTACAGACCGATTTTGATTATTTCTTCACCAAAAGACGTGTTTTAACACCCTTTCGGCTCAGTCGGCTTTACATATTATTGCTCTGATTGTAATGATCTTGAACTCCTTGGAAAGATTTTGCTAAACTCTTTCAAACAACAGAATGTAAGTCAAATTCTTAATGCCATTTGGCAAAACATCAAGTCCTGTCCAATTAGGATCCCGAATGCCACTGTCATGGCGGCCTTCTCCTTCTGACGAGATTCTCGCTGTTAGCATTATTTGACGATAGAAGTTTACTCTTCCCCAGACGAGCTCCGGAAGCATGCACGTGGAGACTTCTGACGGATCGCTGAACTCGAATGTGGATCTGGGTGAGGATGTGGCCAAGGAGCTGAGCAATGAGGATCTGAGTCTTCTCTGTGATCTGTTCTACTTGCCATTCGAGCACGGCAGCAAAGGTCTGGTGATACTCAATGAGTTCCACTGGCTGAAGACGAACGCCAGCGTGCTGCTGGGCGCGCCGAAGAAGCCCTCGACGGACGCCAGTGTGAAGCCGGAAGTGCAGGAGTGGCTGCAGCGCAGCGAGAAGTTCGCCTCGCTCTGCCAATCAATTCTGGCGCTGGCGAAGAAGTTCAGCGTGTGCGTGAACAAGGAGCTGCTCTACGATCTCTACTCGTACGTGTGGGACATCGCGGGCATCGTGGCGCTGCTGAATGCCTTCGTCCAGTGGCTGGCGCTCGCCCACTTTCCGTCCAACATCAATTCCTACACGCAAGGCAGTTACACGTGTAAGATTCCTGGGATTTCTCCTGTTTCTAGCGCTTTGGGCTGTGGATTTGAGGATTTCTTGTGTTTTCAGGGTTCAGCAAAGGATGGAAGGACACTTTTATGTCTGGCGAGCAGGAGCCTTGGGTGTTCCGCGGAGGATTGACGGCTGATCTTCAGGTGAGAGTCTTGCGAGCGTCGCAAATGTGGGGATTTGATGGTAAAAGAGATTCCTCTTCTTCCCGCAGAGACTTCTGCCTGTGGATTCGGGCAATGATTTGTTCCTGTACAAACTCCCGGACGCGCCGTCGTCCAACTTCTACACGGTGCGTCCGTACGTGTTCACGGACGAGGAGGCGGTGTACTCAATCTGCCACAAAACCTGCCGCGACGGATCGGACTGTTCGGAGCTGTTCCCGGAGAATCTGCAGGGCATTCCGGCGGATCGCCTGGTCGGGCCGTTCATCACCATCAATCCGGAGTTCTGCATGGTGATGGAGTGTGGCTCGCTGGGGCTGATTGGGTACATTTGTGGCGCCCTGGACGCCAAGGTGTTCTACAAGAACCAGCAGATGTGCTGGCTGCCCGCCATGTGTCTCAAGTATCCGATTGAGCTGCTGGAGTCGCCGGAATTGACGCCCACGGCCAAGGACACGATCACACACTTCCACAACTTCAAGTACGACTGCCCGCAGGAGGTGCTCAACGGCTATCCGTCGATGATGACGTGCTGCGTGCTGAAGGAGCAACTCACGCACGATCCGTCAGTGGCCAAGAGGCTCGTCACGGTGCTCCTGGCCGCCTTCCGGTCCAATGGATCGTTCGGCGTGCACGTGTGCATCAATCGCACAGATCGCTACATGCATCAGTTTTACACAAAGCTGGGCTTCGCTGAAATCCTGCAGGACAACATGCGCATCTACTTGGGCAGGAACTTCTAACTCTCTGCATTTCTCAATCCGATTCGTCTCCTCTCTTCTCTTCTCTTCTTTTTTACGTTTTACCCCCATTTTCACCCCCTTTTAACCCACGCATTGTGATCTTACGAGATACTATATTTAACATGTTTAATTAAATCACTACAGAAGATTAGCTCTCAGCTTCCTATCGTGTATGTCCACACGCTGTCGATGCCCGCGTCGATGGTGTGCGCCGGCCGCAGGGTGGGGAAGGGGAATCGGCAGGCGACGATCGTGCACTTGTCCTGCGCCTCGGCCAGGAGCTTCCTCTCCAGCTCCTCCATCATGCAATCCACGCCGAAGATCACGATGTGGCTGTATTGAGAGATGCCGAAGCGCCAGAGATCGCGCCGGAAGAACGACACATCGCGCCACACGCCCGCCCTGGCGGCGGAGAATCTCGAGTAGTGCACCAGCCACCTATTCAGCTCCACACCGTGAGATTTGTAGCCATTTTGGGCAGCGGCTGATCAAATCAATCAAATTTGTGAGAATAAAAAGTGTAATTGTTGTCAGAAAATCCATCTTCAAACCTATGACAATTCTTCCATCGCCTGATCCTATGTCCAGGAGGAGATTCCTCGGGGGCTTGGGCACACCGCCAGCTCGCTGGAGAGCGGTGAGGACGTTTGTGATCTGGGCAGGAGTGGCTGGAACGTAGGGTAAACAGATTTTCCGGAAAGCAGGCGCCACGAAGGGAATCGAGATGCATGTTATGGCGACTCCCAAACCACCTGCAAAGCCAATGATTTACCAATCACACAATCTGGAGCGGAAGAAGGACTCTTCAGCTACCTGTCACGGCCAGCAGGATCTTCCCTGACACTGAATTCGAGGACTTTTTCGCTGTTTCCCGGGACATTGCACGGCAGCGACCGTGTGAGGTTATGGCAGATCGTCCGGAAGAACTGTCAAACTGCCTGACTTTTGTGACGTAATGGTGTGTTATTTTATTTTAGGTGGCTCGCGAGAAACTCTGCGGAAAATTGGCAAAAAATCACTTTAGTTTCGCTTTTCGAGGGGTGAAAATCACACGTGTGGCCACGGGGAAGGTGCGAGCAGGGTTTTTGAGCTGATGTGGCGCGAGATGGTGTAGCTGGTGGTGGTGAAAGAGTGCTGAAAAATTGCGGGTGAAAACGCCATTGGAGGTGAGAAGCTCAGGAGGAATTTGACATTTTTCCAATCGAAAAAAAAGATGGGGAGAGAGAGTTAGAGGAAAATTGAGTTTTTCCCATCTTCCAAGGCACTGTGCTGGTGGTGTTGGTGCGGGAAAGGGTGTCTGATGATCGTGAGTGGTGGCTTGTGTGGGAAAATCAAGGGAAATTGATGTGGCAGAGGGAGAAAAGTGTCAGTGAAAATTTGCCAAGTTTGTTCCACTTTTTGTGGTGTTTCTTCTCTCTTTCTCTCGCCCATTTCGCAATTGATTTTGAGTGGCTTTTGCTGGGATTTCGCTAATAGAATTCCCTTCGCTTTTTTCCCATCTCCTGCAGGTGGTGTGCGAGTGGGAAATTCGTGGTGGGAAAATGCAGGAAAAGTCATCACAGGAGCGTCACTAGTGCAACGCGAGAGAGCGAGAGCGAGAGAGAGCGCGAGAGCCAGAGAGAGAGAGCACACCTGAGCGCCTCGCCAGAGACACAAAGAAGCGAGTGAAAGTCGGCCGAGAAGGTGGTCGCGAAGGTGAGACCCGGAAGACTCTCTGGGCAGTCCGGACGCCACGCGATGTGCGACATGTCGGCGGAGAAGTGGGTCTGCGAGTACTGCACGTACGCCAACTATCCCTCGGCCATCAAGTGCACGATGTGCAAAGGGCAGAAGCCGCTCCTCAGCGAGGACATCTTCCGGCTCAACCCCTCGCCGCCGCCGGCCGCCGCGCTCATCGAGTCCTCGGCGCTGAGTCTGTCCAACTCCAATCTCACCAGCGCCGCCGGCGGCCCGTCCACGGAGGCGCGCTGCAAGTGGCTGTGCGCCATGTGCACGTACCAGAACTGGCCCAGGGCGCAGCGCTGCACGCAGTGTCACACCAGGCGGGACGCCGACGTGCAGAACATGCAGGAGCAGCTGAAGGCGCTCAGCATCCGGCGCTCGGATCCCGATCTCATGGCCAGCAATCGCTCCAGTCCCTTCGGCTCCGCCACCAATCTCGCCGGCTCCAGGGCCAATCTGGCGGCGGCCCGCGTGAGTCCCAGCGAGGGGCGGCAGGCGCAGGCGCTGGCGCCCAAGTGGCTCTGCGTCAGCTGCACCTTCGAGAACTGGCCCAAGAGTCTCAAGTGCTCCATGTGCGGCCGCGGCAAGGAGCCGCCGGCCAGCACGCCGACCGAACACGCGGCGCAGGCCACGCTGGCGCCCCCGCAAACGCCTCCCGGCGGCCTCCCCGCCTCGCCAGAGCGCGATCTCAGCGCCGAGGAGAACTGCGTGGCCACGAATGTGGTGAACAGTGGGAAGCGCGGCCAGGCGCGCTGTCTGGAGGCGGCCAACAACTGTGACGCACACCAGGAGCGGCGCCTGCGGCAGCTGCGGCGGCAGGCGGACTGGAACTGGCTGAACGCGTGCATGGGCGTTGTGGAGAACAACATTGGCGCCGTGGAGACGTACTTGGCGTGCGGCGGCAATCCCGGACGCTCGCTCACGATCAACGAAGTGACGCTGCTGAATCGGAACTCGGCCTTCGATGTCGGCCACACGCTCATCCACCTCGCGATTCGCTTCCACCGCGAGGAGATGCTGCCGATGCTGCTGGCGCAGATCTCTGGCTCTGGGCCGGGCATCAAGCGGGTGCCGTCGTATGTGGCGCCAGATCTCGCGGCGGACATCCGCCGGCACTTTGCCGCCTTCCTGCGAATACGCAAAGGTGCTTTCAATTGTCACTACGTGAATGAACACGCGACTTTTGCACTGCCAGCTGACATTGAGGAGCTGCCGCTGGCCATTCAGGAGCAGCTCTTCGATGAGCTCCTCGATCGCGATGCCCAGAAGCAGCTGGAGAATCCACCGCCGGCGCTCAATTGGTCGCTGGAGATCACGGCGCGCCTCGGATCGCGACTGATGGTGCTGTGGAATCGCAGCGCCGGCGATTGCCTCCTGGATTCCGCCATGCAGGCCACATGGGGTGTCTTTGACCGCGACAACGTCCTCCGGCGCGCCCTCGCCGACAGTCTGCACCAGTGCGGACACTTGTGAGTGCCTCCAATGCCATAAATTGATGCCTTTTGACCCAGAAAATCTCTCTCGACAGATTCTATCCGCGGTGGAAGGAGTACGAGATGATTCAGGCGTCACTGCTGCACTTCACACTCGCCGAGGCGCAGTGGGAGGAGGATTGGAACAGTCTGCTGTCGCTGGCCAGTCAGCCGGGCTCGTCGCTTGAGCAACTGCACATCTTCGCCCTGGCGCACATCCTCAGGCGGCCCATCATTGTGTATGGCGTGAAGTATGTGAAGAGTTTCCGGGGTGAAGACATTGGATATGCTCGATTCGAGGGTGAGTTTGGCTGCTGCGTGACCCAATTCTCTCTCCCTTCTCTGGCATGTCAAGGCTCCGCCGCAGTGTCGCACAGAGAGAGAGAGACAATGAGAGAGAGATTCTAGAGCGCGTGGAGAGTAATTGAGTGTTTCCTTTCGCCAGGACTCTATTTGCCATTCTTGTGGGAACAAAGCTTCTGCATTCGGTCACCCATCTCGCTGGGATACACACGTGGACACTTCAGTGCCCTCGTGCCGACTGAGCCCTACTCAAGGATCGACGGGGCGCGTGATGATGCGGAGGATGTGACATTTCTGCCTCTGATGGATTGCGAAATGAAACTCTTGCCAATTCACTTTCTCACAGAATCCGAGGTGAGTCTCAAATGCCAGCACGTGTCCTTCCTCTCCCGCCGTCGCTTTTTCCACGTGTATCGGGACGTCGTGGCGCGCACTTCGCGGTGGTGTTTTGAGGGGGTTTGAGGGTGTTTCACAGAGTGGTTTGAGGCCATTATTTATACAGAAAGGGCATGGAAATTGTGTGTGTGACGCAATGAAATGTCTGTTTCTCTGGAAACTAGAATTGAAATATGCTCCGAAACCACTTTTCTATACAATTTATTTACACTCACACAGAATAGAAGAGAGCTTTGTTTCAAACATTCACACAATAAATAATTTTAGCTGTATTTTTGTGAATATTTCATGTTTAAAATGAAAAATTCTATCATTTTCTAAATATTTCTGTGCTTTTTCCCACTTTTTATGCTATTTTTATTGACTAGTTTGTGATTTTAATCACTAATTAAGCTCTTGTCCTTCAATTTGAATCATTTACAGCTGAAAATGTGTGTTAAAAAGACAACTAAATTAAGTTTAAGTTTGTTTTTCTAGGTTATGTTAGACTAAAAAGCATTTTTTAATAGAAATTCTTTTGCTGTACATGAAATATTTTCACTTCTAAACGGAATTTCACATTTTCAGTTAACAGAAATTACAATTCTAAGAGTTTAGTGGTGAAAACTAGCTCTAAAGTCAAACATAACCTCAATTTTTCACTGAACAGCTGCAATTTTGTGTTAGAAACGAGTGTAGGAGGGTTTTGAAGGACACAAATTGTGATTAAAATGATTAAAAGCAGTAAAACTACAGTGAAAAAGTTTTTAGTTAGTTTTGAGTTAGATTTCGGTTAGATTTCATGCTGAAAAACCCAAAAATAACTCCATTTTGACTAAGATTTAACTTCTCAATCTCACAAACAGTTCATGAAGTGTGGAAGTTCTGGGAATAATATTAGGGATTTCTTTGATTCTTAGGGATTTCTTAAAGAACCTTTAAAGGTGTGCATTTTAATCCTTAATCTGCATGCGATTCAGTCTGTTCCATTGACATTTTCGCATTTTCTCACTCTCCGCTTCGTGTGCGCTTGCAGATGGGCCGGGAGGAGGCGATAATGCGACAGTGGCTGGATGTCTGCATGACGGAGGGTGGCCTGATGGTGGCGCAGCAGCGACTCCACAAGCGCCCGCTGCTCGTGGCCCAAATGCTGGAGGAATGGCTGAATCACTATCGGAGAATTGCGTAATTATTCCTGAGCATAAATTGCTGTTTGTTCCGCAAGTGCGAAAGGCATTTCATCTCTCTCTCTCTCTCTCTTCCTTGCAGGCAAGTTATTTCCGCACCATTTGCACGCCGACCACAACTTACCGGATATCTGAGTGACGGTGATACGGATGAGGAGTAGAAAATAGCTGAATTCATAAGTTTCTTTTTTCGCGAATTAAATCTACTTGCGATGAATTACTTGTCGAAGGTGAATATATTGCTAATTATTGCAAATAATATTAAATGTAGTCACGAAAGGGGGAGAAAGAGAGAGAGAGAGAGAGAAAATTATATAAAAGAAGAAGAGGAGAAGATGTAAAATGTTGCAAAAGAATATCAATTTATTTGAACACCACTTAAAAGTTTTAACCAAATATTTAACAATAATCAATTTTAAACAAGAAAAAAAGAAAGGAAAGGAGAAGAAGTGAATGGAAAAATTGAATAAACGAAATTATATATATTTAGATGATCAATTTGAAAATTGCTAAATGAAAAAAAACTCTAGGTATTTGTAAAATAGTGATGAAAGGGAGAAACAAGTGCGGAAGAAAGTCCCGAAGAAGATCTTTACTTAATTCTTGCAATTTAATTAATTATATATTTTCAAAAGAAATAAAAAAAATGGGGTGAAAACATGATTCTTAAAAGGAATATATTATATGAAAAGGAAAAGAAAAAAAAACAACTACAAATTTGTGTGATAAATCATACCTTATAATGAATTATTTTAGGTGAAGAAAATAACAATTAAAAAAGAAGATTAAGAAATAAAAAAAAAACATGGAAAGAGGCAAACACTGAATCCAAGATTATTAAGTTTTGTTTCTGGGTTTTTCGCTTTTAAAATTTTATCGATGGAGAGAATGAGAAATTTAAAAAAAAAAGAGGAAAAATGTGAAACAGTACAAAGCGAATATTTGAGGAATGAAATGGAGAGAAAGAGAAGATCATAAAAAAAAACAATGTTATTGTGGGCTGTTAAAAGAAAATCAAGTGAAAGAGAAATATGCGGAGAATGAGAGAAAATCATTGAAAAATTGAAATCAATAAAGTAACTATGGAAAAAGCAGGGATGTTTCTTCTCAATTATGAGTTTCTTTTGCACACTTTTGATCACACGCTTCGCGTTAATTCAATATGGCGGCGTTCTTCATTGCGTCAGAGACTCTAAAGATGGCTTTGGCCTACTAAAGTCGGTAAAGAAGTGAATTAATAAAAATATTAAGTGCAGAAAGTGATGGAAGAGTGTTGGAGAGCACAAAATAGTGAAATTCTGGCGACAAAACTCACCCTAAATTTTCTCCATCCCTGAAAAAGGAGACAAAACACCTCCGAAACGTAGGATTTTGAATAAAAACTAGTGATATCAAGCAATAGGCCGTCCCGTGTTTACACATCTTTAAACCATAATATCCACCTGATCAATACCACAATTAATAAAGATAAATCACAGTTTTATCTTGGAGATATTCGATTTTAAAGTTTCGGAAGTAGTTTTCACGACTTTAGCGCCCTTAGTGGTGATTCTACTAACTTGAGATGTTAGGAGAGAAGATGGAATTTTACGAGATCTTTCCAAAAAGCACAAAATCATGTCTATCGGACAATTAGAACAGGAGTTATGGCCATTTTTAATTTCAAAATGTAGGTCTTGAAATCAAAGGACCAGAAGAACCTAGAACTTAAAGTGTGCATTCGTTGGAGAGATCTTCAAATCAGCTATAATATACTATAATTTCAAGCCGATCCATGCTTTAGAAGCTGAGTAAATGAGAAAAATCAGTTTTTGTGGGTGTTCAAAATGGCGGAAAGAATGGTAAAGGATAGAATTTGACCTTCTTCTTCATCCTAATTTTATAATTTTTGGTTTCTTTTGCTTAATTTCTCAGCCTCGCGGAATTAATCCAGCGCAGACTTCAGAAAAAAGTGGTGAATTTTCGGAAAGAGGCGGTTTCCGCGCTGCCGATCCCACACACCTGGCGTCGCCACTGTCGCTCGGCTGACAGCTGCGGCGGTGGAGAAGAAGAAGAAGAAGAAAAGAAAAGTCGATCTCCAGTCGTTCGCGGTTTGTCTGCGAGGAAAAGTGTCTCTTTTTCGCGTGGAAATGTGTCCTTTCAACTGATATCCTAGTGATACCTGTCTTCTGCGTCCGCCAGTGGTGTTGCTGAGTGCTAAAGTGTGACATTTTCCTGTCTGCGTGGTGGAGAAAAGTCGCTGAGAATTTTCCGAAATGGGTGAGTCCGCGCCCCGAATGGGAATTTCGTGTGCCATCTTCGGGTTTTTTTTTCTCTTCTCTCTTCTGGTGTGAAAAACGGCGAAACAATGCCGGGTCGGGAGTTTTTCTCACACACAGAATTTTTCACACACTGACTTTCTGTGTTAATTTCTCAAGTGCACTGAGTGAGATTGAGTCGCTCCTACGAGGATTTACTGGGGGCGCGCCAGGAGAATTTCCTCCATTGATTTTTCCTCCTGACATTTTGTGTGTGTTTCCACCACAAATTTTGCTGCCTTTTCTTCTTGCCACGAACGCGCACCCGAGGCGGTGTTTATTCGCTAAATTTGCGTATGAATGCTAATGAATTAGAAAAGAAAATGCAGTCGGATTGGAGAATTTTCTCACACACACGCCGAAGTGACATTGAGACTCACTTTTAGAGCTCTCCAAAGCACTCCTTCGCGATTTCGCTTCATTACATAATTTTCCATCGAAAATCCAACACTGTCGGACGCCCGGCGAGTCTGTGTGGACTTGGGGGCGCCCGAGAGAGGCCCCAAAGGCCGCCTCTGCGCCACAAAGACTCTCTGGCGTGAGAAAGTGAAATTGGGCTCCACTTGAGTGTCTCTCTCTCTCTCTCTCTGACTGTGAATGGGCTAGAAAATGGGTGTGTTTTCCCTCCTCAAGACGCACCAAAAGCAGCCTTCCCGGCTTTTTCTGTCCTCACCGGAAAACCAGTGCTGATCGCGTGCAACTTCACATTCCTCATTGTCCTGGCACAGGAGAAAAGCCTCTGCGACTGGCGATTGCAGACTGTCAAGCGTCGTTCATTCATGCGCACAAGAAAACCTCCTCGAAGGGACCTTGAAGACACCAAATCCCTGAGATGATGATTCATTTTCTCACCCATCCGCAAGTGCACCAAGAAAAGCCACTCGCTTTCTTCATCGCGATTTTTTTCCCCCATTTTAATTGTGCTTGTGAGGCGCGCGGGAGAAGAAAAATTGTGCAGTGAAATAGCGTTGAAAGTGTGGAAGAAGAAAAAGAAAAAAGCGAGCGCGATAAGACGTTGCGGTGAAAACGATAAAGACATTGTCCTAATAAGCACACCACACGGACAAGTCAAGTTTGTTGAAAATCCACAAGCTGAGGAGAGACTTTAATTTTAGCCCCGATACGAGGGTGATTGAATTGATAGCGGCGCGGCGGGGAAAGACAATTTGTCTCGAAAGGTTCGCTCAGGGTGGAATTTCACACTGTAATTCGGTCTTTACGACTCCCACGCAAGTGGACAGCTGTGAAGGAGTGTCGGTAATTGGGCGGCTCGTAAGTTCTGCTGATGAGAGAAAAGTGACCGGCGATTGAGAAGGACGCAATTCTCAGTCACAATCCTGCATCGATTTTCACTAAAAGTGAGGGGATGTTAGAGATGTGTTATGAGAGTTAACAGCAGGTTTTGAGTGTTCAAATCGGTTAAAATATAGTTTCAAGCACCAATTCTGTGCAAAATACTCTTATTTTCTCTCTACTACTAATCGTGATCCCAATTCTGGCACCAATAGAGGGCAAGAAATCAGGAAATTATGCAAAAATTACCCTTTTTCGGAACGTCGCATAATTGACGTTAATGTGTTATTTAAAACCGGCTTCCAGAAGTTCTTTTAATGTGTCAAAAGCAGATTGACAGATCGGAAGCTACGGAATGGATTGCAAAAATGATTCAATCATGATTAAGCATGAAAGATAACACAATGTGTAATCGCTCAAAGCTCTCTAACACTATGTTAGCTTGTTTTAAGCATAAATATCAAGTAATGTTTATCTTTATTCATGGGGAATGTTAAAGTTTCACATATTTGAACGTTAAACATTCCTCAGTTTCCCATAATAAATAACACATGTTATTTATGATTAATTCATGTCAAAAATTGTATCGCCAGAGGTTAAATTGTCAATTTCATTTGCATTTCAATGCTGATGAATACTTTAACACAAGTGTAGTTTTGCAGAAAGATCCTAACACATGTTTTAACGTAACACATCACACAGTGTGACTGGGAATTGGTTCTGAAATTGGATTGAATTCTTGAAGTTAGAATGATAGATTTAGCATCTCAGACCCTTTCTTAATGTTGTTCTTGCGATCGAAGGTGTCGAAGTGACTTTAATCGGTGTGATTTTCACGAAGTTCATGCAATATTAACACCATGGAAGGCTGTCAAACCGCAAATCTCTGATCGTTTAATTGCAAATCAATGGCGATAATTGATTTTAATTCACTGACAAATTAATTTGATGATGTGTGAGAATGAGAATTTTGGCATGTTTATGCAGAAAGTGGCACAAGTTGATCGAAATGTAATGTTTTAAGCTTTGAGGGTCACACAAAGTGCGGAGAAAATGCACAAAAAGTTCTCATTTGCATTTTCATTCTCAGCACAATAAATTTTGTCGAGTTTTTTTTCCTTCACTTCTAATTTGTGTATTAGGAAAGTATAATTTTAGATGACACACGTTTTAACCTTGGACTTTTTGATCACGTCAAAATCTTCCTAATACTTCTTCAAGCACACAACTTGCAATAAATGTGTGGAGGAAAATTAATCACATGTTGTGTGTGAGATGAATTTTTACTCTCTGTCGTGCGGATGGTGGAAAATAAAAGAATGTTGATTAAAATTAACGCGATGAATTTCATGTTTCCAATTATTTCTCAAGATAAATGACTGTTTAATCATCTTTTCTCCATTCAATAATCCGTCTTTCGTGATTTTAACCTGTACGGTTTTGAGATATTTATTCAATTCAGAGAACATCAAGTATTTTTCTGCTCAACATTAAGGAAGTTCACTGACTTTCTGTTGGGGTTTTTTAACATTGAGGAAAACTTCTTTAAAATGTGGAAAATAATTTCGGTGAAGGATTTGGTGTTTGAAGAGAAATCTCAAGTGTCTTTCCTGGGCGGCCAGAGATTTTCAGTTAATAAGAATGTGTTCAATTGAATTTCTGTTTTTCACCGCACACGAAACGCCGTGACGACGATTGACCGTGACGCGATGGAGATGTTTAAGCTATTACATCATTGCTCATGTTCGGCTGCTTTCTGAGCATGATAAACCCGCGGCTGAATGTGTGTTGTGTCTTCGTTGGCGGCTGAAATCGCCCTCAAATAGATAGGAAATTCGTGTGCGTGCGACCGGAGGTCATGTGGGTGGCGAATTCACAATACAGACACACAAGAATGACATCCCAAATTCCTCACCCAATTCGCTGATCTTCTTGCATTTCTTGGTGTCAGGAAAAAGACGCACAAAATGTCGACAAACTCTCTTTCTTTCTGTGTTGCGCAAGTTGGTGAAGTTTTAGCATAAATTGTTCTGTCTTTTTTATTCATCCTGTGTCGCCGTAATCAATTAATTCCGGAAGATGAAGTTGGAGAAGCTGTGCAAGAAATCTCGTGGAGATTTACAAGCCAAGAGAGTGAGAGAGAAGAAAATTCTATTTCTGTATTTTCCACCTCACGTCGTCATAATGATTGTGGTTACGGGTCTCTCTTTTTTTGTGTATGGATGAAAAACACAGAGAGCTTTCCCTCCGTGGCATTTTTTTGTGTTCACACACAGAATTTATTATTATTTGACGGAGAGACTCTCTTGTGCACGTACACAAAATACAAGAGCCATAATGTGCATTTTACTGAGTGATTTTTAACCATTCAGAACGAACAGTTGAGTCTCGATTGACGGGAGTGTTTTCGGAGGATTTTTGGATCAATTCCCACTGAAAGTGAGGAATGTTAAATGATCAAATATGAATGTTGAAGGTTTGAATTTATTGCAAATATTTTTCATGCTCAGGCTTGAAAATTAGAGTCACAATGACAGATTATTCTGATCTGTCAACCTGCTTTTGAGACATTAAAACAACCTCTGGAGAGTGTTTTAAAATAACACATTCAAGTGGTACAAATTGGCCTGTATCTGTTAACTTTGTCATTATTTCAGTCAAAAATTTTAATAAATACCAATAAAATCAACCTAAAGATTAAAAAAAGCATTTATTATAAAGTAATTTTAACAGTTTAATGAACAATTTTAGGGATTTTCAGATAAATTTGACAAGTTTTGAAGCGATATTAACAATTCATAGTTTTAAATTCATCCGTCAACGAGTGAATCAGAATAGCACGTAACACAAATGGTGAATTTCTTGACAGAAGTGGTGAAATTTTAAACACAATCGTCATTTGAAGCTTTCCGTGTGTTAATAAGAATATTAAGACTGTTTTATCTTCTATAACACATCTGTAACATTCCACAGTTTTAGTGGGAATTAAACTACTTATTTGAGCAATGTGAAGAATGCAAACTTAATCACTTCGGAGATAAATAACAGTCTTCCAAATGAGGAAGAATGTTTAGAAAAATTTCTACCTGATTTATAGTTATGAAATAATCTCATGAAATCATCAACAGAAGTTTAATTTTAGCATCACAAGTAATAATAATAATAATAATAATAATAATAATATTTCTTTATGATGGATAATGAAATGAAATGAACTTCTTGTTCTCTTTTTCATTTAATGATAAATGCCAATTTCACAAATATAAACTAACAATATTAAATGGGTGCGGTGCAGAGAGAGAGAGAGAGAGAAAAGAGAGCAAGATCGATATGTTTTCACGACTATTTCGCTTGCATTTGGCATTTTTTGGCGCAAATATAGTTTTACGCAATGCCTAGTTTGGGCATGGAAATCACTTTCACGGAGAATAAATCACACGCAGAGCGAGAGAGAGTGAGTTTAATTGGGCACGCATTTTATGTGGTGAAAAACAGTCAAATTTCGAGGGGGTGTGAAGGCGCGAAACGTGCGTACTTGTTGGGGTTTAGCTGTAAATATGTCAAAAAGACTGAATATTTTTCATCTCTTGGGATGTGTTTGATGGCGGAAAAGAGGTTGAGCGATGGCATTTTCAATGGATGATGATGTGAGAGCAAATGAATGGATGG